ACTGTCTCCAACAGTAATTAACTGTCTGAGACAATAATATTACTGTATTAATTAATTTTATCGTCTTGGCTTGCATTATTGTTGTCTTCGACTGTAATATTATTGTCTTCGACCGTAATATTACTGTCTCAAGCAATAATATCACTGTTTGTGACAGTAATATTAGTAATATTACGGTTCGGGAAATAATATTCATAATATTACTGTCCGAAACAATAATATTATTGTCTGAAACAGTAATATTACTGTATGAAACAGTAATTTAGCAGGCAAGATAGTAATATTAATTAAAATATTTTTATCTAAGAATTTTTTTTTCAAAAACGAAATTAAAAAAAAAATCAACGTCGGAGAGCGGCGGTCAACTGCGGTTAGACCTGACCACCGGTTCGGTTAGAACCGGAACCGAAACCGAACCGAGGTCAACGGTTTTAGAACCGAACCGGAGCCGGTTTGACCGGAACCGGAACCAGAACCGAAAAAACCGGTTCGGTTCCGGTTCCTCATTTTTGGAACCGGGAACCGACGGTTAGAACCCGTTTGAACCGGTTTTTGAAAAAAAAAAAAAAAAAAAGAAAAGAAAAATTGATTTCCTAGCTCTCTCTCTCTCTCTCTCTCTCTCTCTCTCTCTCTCTCTCTCTCTCTCTCTCTCTATATATATATATATATATATATATGTATAAATATACACAGAGAGATATATATACATATATAAATATATATTTTATATATATATATATATAAGTATTAAGAAAAACATTACGTAATTAAAAAAAATTAAGTTTTTAAAATATACTTTCCACTTTAATTTGAAAAAAAAAACTATTTTTAAAAGTTTTTTAAAGTATATATATATATAACAAAAATAAAAATAAAATAAAAATTATTATTGAGAACCGGCGGTTCTACCGGTTCTAACCGGGAACCGAACCGGAACTGATCCGGAACCGGTTAGGAACCGAACCGCAAGGAACCGAATTTTTCCGGTTCGGTTCCGGTTCCTCCAAAATCGGAATCGGAACCGGAACCGAACCTAACCGAACCGTGGTCAGGTC